TGTATGGATAATTGTATTCGTAAGCAACAATAATATTTTGTGAACAATATGTTTAGAAATATGTATGGTTATTCAAGGATACTATTTTTTCGTTGTTGCCACATTGTGAATGATCTGAAAGCATTTGTTTGTTGTTATGCCTTAGAAAGATGGCTCTTCTTTTCTTTTGGAAAATGTTGCTTTAGATCTGCCCTAACGAGGGGCTTGCTTTTGTGCAGGAAAAAGGAGTCTAAATTTTTAGGATGACCGTCGCCCTTCCCCCTAGGGAGGGTGAAGTGAATGTCTTTTGTTTCAATTTTAAGGATTTCATCTTCGTGTATTGATTGTGTAACCTTGAGGATTGGATTTGATTGTACCAAGTTTGATTGTGTTCTAATGCTTGAATTGATCTTTTTATGAACTTTATATTGTCTTATAAATTGGTTATTGAAGATTGATTTCAACATCTTCACTTTTTATAATTATGTTGATGATGGTTATACAATGGTGCTTGATGCATATAATTTCTCTCTTATTATTTTCTCATATTCATCACTATTTCATTTACTTGCATTATTAATTAGCTTTACCTTAGTTGATAATTAGCAACACATGACCTCTTCTCTATTGCATCAATTGTTCATTGATGTTGAATTGAATCAATCTAATAGTCCTTGTGAATGATCCCTTACTTCACTATATTGTGCGGTGATAGTATATAAATTTAAAATTGATTTCCAAACACTGAACCACCATTAGAATTGAGTGATGATCACAAAATAAACCAAAAACGTCTGTCCTCAAATAGGGATGGTAATGGGCAGTTTGGAGAGGATCTCATTCCCCATCTCCGCTCCCGTTTAATTTTATTACCCCCAAAACTGCCACCGTATCGATTAAAATTTCACCTCCCACCCCTATAACCATCCCCACCCCATCCCCACTTGCCCCGCCCCATAACCGAATAAAGTAAGAAAGTACTAAAGTAGATTGGTAAAATAATTGGATGCTCCTCATACAAGGCTCGGGGTAATGGATCCAAGATGAATAATTAATGGTGGTAGTTAGCAAGGTAAAGTAGGCCAAAGGTATCACATCCCAAATTTTTATCTGATCTAATTTAATTCTTTATTCATTATTATGAGTTTATTAATATTTATTTCAGTTTACATATTTATATTTAATTGAGTTGGGAAAACAAAAATAAGAAAGTTTATTGTTTATAAACAATTAATTTCAAGTATGAGAATTGTTTACACATGCACGGTACATGGTACTTGGAAGTATTTGGACATGTTTGTTATCTATTCATATGTATGGTATCAATTAAAGATTATTGAGGTAGTGGCAGATAAATATATCAATATATATATATATATATATATATATATATATATATATATATATATATTTATAGTAAATAAAAAGGGTATGTATATTGACATACATATATGATGCGTGAGTGTGATGATGTTAACAATATTTGCTGATGCCTTTTATATGTACTTAATATTTTATGTTTTCTAAGCTTTTCTTTGGAAGCTTTCAAGTTGGTGAGCTGGCTTTATACATTTCAAGTTTGGTGGATAACTATTGAAACTAATAGTTGACAGCACCATGTATATATATACATATCATAGGACTTATATAGATATGTATTTATATAGGAGCTTTCTAGTAAGCTTTGGATGAATTATTTAAGGAATAAATTAAGAAAGAGGGCATGAGTAGGCTTGGACACATGTCACACACATAATAAAAGTTCCATATATACATTATTTTACCTCTTTCGTTTTGGGGTTTCTCCGGACCGGTATGTTAAAAATTAAAGGTGTGTAGAAAAAGAAAAGAAACAGCGGGACTAGAGAAGCCGGACCAGAAAAGGAAATAAGGAAAGTGAAAGAGAGTGAGAAAAGAAGAGAGATAGAATCAGAAAGTGGGTGTTTTGTAGAAAAGGAAGGAAAATTCTCTACAATCTTTGTTGGATTCAACCTAAGGTAAGGAAATTATATTTGATGTTTAATATTTCAACTTTCCATGGATAGTCTGATTTATGAATTTTTATATAACTCATGTAATTGCCATTTATTTAATTTGATAAATTCAAGTTCTAAATTATCTGAAAGAGAAAGAATTGTTAAGTAGTTTGACTTGTTGATGTGATATATATATATATATATATATATATATATATATGGTGAGCAATCTGAAAAAAAAAAAAAAAAAAAAAAAAAAAAAAAAAAAAAAAAAACATGCAATAAATGGATAGAAATAGATTATTGAAGTCAGAGAGGAGAATGAAAGAGAGAGAAATAAAGAGAAGGAATGAAAGTAGAAATAGTGGAAGGAAGAGGAAACAAATAAGGAAAGTTAGGGAAAAATCGTGTATGCAGTCTTGAAGGTAGAAAATTTTGTAGTTTAAATTTTATATTGAAAATTTATAGTATTTAAATTGTCAATACTTTGCTTATTGAGGTGCTCTTGAACCAAATTTCTATCATTATTTTCTTTCTTAGTTAAATGGTTAATTTATATGAAGTGATACAATTCTGACATGATTTTAATTACTGCCCTGAAATTAATCTATATGATTATCATTAGAATTCCAATTACAATTACATACCAAGGCTGGGATTTATATTTGAATTGAGGATTAAATTGTTTAAATTTTCTTTAGAAATATATATGACATGATTATAAATGTTGTATAGGTAAGGAAAAGGAGTTCACAACTTCGACATTACCAAAGGATAAGTAGATAAGTTAGGAAGTAGCCAAGGTGAGTGTAGTCACTGAAAGTTTATTCTTGGATATGCTTAATTGAAGTATTGCAGTGGTTTATGTGAATTGAAGATGAATATATATATAACTTGATTATATTAAATAAGGTCCATACTCTGGCCTGGAAGGAGAGTACTACATTAAAAAGGGTTCATACTCTGGCCAAGAAGGAGAGTACTATATTTAAATAAGGTCAGTACTCTGGCGTAGAAGGAGAGTACTATATTATATAAGGTCTATACTCTGGCCTAGAAGGAGAGTACTATATTTTAATACCTGTAATATGTTAATAAAGTTTAATTGACGTTAGCAGATAATATTTGCTTATATTACTCTGATGTAGTAGTGTTGCATTCACTGGGCTTTAAGCTCATTCCTTACCAGGTTGGGGAAAAGAACTTTTGTATAAAATGTAAATATTGTAATAGAACTTAATATTATGACTTGAAGTGACTTGTTTAGTTTTTTAGAACTAGCGAGGTGGATTTATAATTTATCTTTAATTGTAAACTATTAAGCAAGTACTCTGATGTAGGATGATGTCATGTATGAATGAGACTAATGCAGATGGTTGGATGCATTCCAATTTGTTCAATTTATTAAATAGTGTAAATTGAGTTGGGGTGTGTCAAAAGGTAAGTGGGAGGTATGTCATAATAATGTGAAATGACAGCATCATGGCCATTGAAAAATTTGATGAAGCCATGTGTTATATATAAATAACGCGAAAAGCCATTCTTTGGCTAGTAAAAAAGGTCTTGGAAGCCAGCAAGTGCAAACCCTAACATCTTCAACTTCTAAAAATCTCCATTTTAAAACCCGTTGAGTTCTTTTTACAGAGTGAATATCAGAACACCAAGAGAACGGATTTCTCGTATCCATGCCTGATATATCGTAGAGACCAGGTGAATATATGAAAAGTTAGATTAGTTGACGGGTATTACTCCAGGAACTGCTGCTACCTCATATTATCCTTTTTGTTTTCTTAATTTTTGAAGAAAGTAGGTTGAACAAATGACGTATCAGATAAGAAATATAATTAGAGTTTAGGAAAGGTACCGATCTCCTAAGTCTAAGCCACCAATTTGATTATCTCTACACGAAAAGGCGAAACAACAATATCTCTGGACAAAGAGTAATATAGATGAGAAAATCTCTGTAGGTGGTCTCGAAGATGGGCTAGAGTAAAAGTCGTCAGCGCAGTCACAAGACGCAAATGAGGGGTGACCGAGTAGTGAAAAAGTAAAATCAAGAGGGGCTAGAGTTTTTAAGCGTGCATTTTAAGCTAGTTTGGTAAATAATATAACATGTCAAGGGTAAATTAGTAATTTAATAACATAATCAATGCGTATTTTAGTGTTTTATAGTTTGTTTTAAAATTGACTGACTAATCTAGATAGGGCAATGTGTTTAGTAGATTATTAAAGATAGATATAGGTATGCCAAAAAAAAAAAAAAAAAACAATAGGTTTTTTTTCCCTTATTTAGATTTTATTTCTAGGCTTTACATTTTGGACTTTTGAGGATTGGGTTAGGTGATATAAATGTGGACTACTGGGCTAAGACCCACAATAAAGGATGAAATGACAGAGGAAGAAAAGATTGGGCCAGGCCAGTACAATAATATGAAAAAGAGTTGGGTGGGTGAGGAGCCCTAGACAATAATTTCCAATCCAGCAATTCTCCACCGACAAAGAGAAATACCGAGAATTTTATTATCAGAAAAAGGACGAAGAGAAGGGAAGAGAAGCGAAGGCAAGCAAGGCGAAGCGAAATCGGAGGGTTTCGTTACTGGTACGACGCCTCTTCTTCTCCTTCTATGTGTTGATTTTTACTAAACTTTTTACATTACTGTGGAAAATTTCAAGCTATTATTCTATTCTGTGCTAGGGTTTTCAGAAGCATTGGTTTTCAAAGTGTTTTTTTTTTTTTTTTTAAATTTGTTTACTTCTTTCATTTATCGATTTAATAAAATACCCCCTGCTTTTGTTTTAGCAAATAATTGGCCTTTTTATTTTTGAATTTTGATGATAAAAGTCTCTCTCTTGTTATTTCATTTGTATAAATAAAATGTTTCTTTCAGATGGACATCCTCAAGATGCATAGACAGTTCTGTAAACTGCCGTTGCTTGCTAAAATTTGTAATTCTCTCTCCACCTTACATTCCCTCTTTTAATTAATTGTGTCTCAATTTTCACCAATATATGCAAATAATTTTGTTTTCCTATATCAGCTATCTTTCCGGTGTCTGTAGTTACTCTGTTGGGTATCGGCGCTCTGATTGCTCATGAGTATGTTTCACTCTGATGTTCAGATCTCAATTGACTAGTCATTACTCTTTATGCTAAATGAAGCTTTTGCATCTTTATTTATTTCTCAAAAAAGCCTTTGGATGATTTAAGTGTCAGTTCTGTAGAGTTTTCACTAATGCATCATTGTTGCAGCTTGTATTAATATTTGTACTCATATGATGTTCAAAATTTTGTATATGGCTATATCTAAGAGTTGTGTTGGAAGAATTGTATTATTTGGTATAATGTCTTAATTTGTTTGTTTGTTTCAATTACAGGAGAAATCAACTCGTGAAATATCTCCAAAAACGGTTTGTCTTCTTCCCTTGAAACTTCAATAGATTCTTTTCTCTTTATCTATTGGTCTCACCTTGTATCAGGTGGATAGTTAAATATCTCACCTTGACGTGTGCTCTTCATAATGGTCTATAAATTCCAATACTATGTCTTTGTGATGTGTTGTTTCTCTGGAGCATCGTCACTTCACACTGCACTACTTAAAAGATTGTCTCATGCATTCTCACTCACGAATCTTTATGCTTGCGGAGTTCTGCGGTTGGACTCTCCACACGCATTGATCTTTGGGTTGGGTTGTGGTGCACTTGGACTTCTAGGGTTTTGTTGTTTAGTGAGACTTGGGATACCTTGAGGTCTCTCTTTTTGGTCAACCCCAGGGCACTATAAAGAGAGACAAGATGTAAATTTCTTTACAGTATCTCTATTACAAATTCACCATACACCATTATCTTGTGGGCTTATGGAATTTATCACCAACAAATACACCTGCCATCCTCAAATTCCTCCTTTACATATCTCTTTCCCTTTGAAAATTTGTGTTGGCTTTTACTTACTCTTAAATCGAGACACAGATGATAAGTGTGTGAGAATTGTAACAAGTGGCCTTGGGTTTCCGAGGGTTTGTTGTTTGTCATGGTTGTTGCCACTCTCTCTCTTATAAGGCCGTCTTGGTGTCCAATCTAGCCTAATCTACTTGAATCTCCACTATCTTAGATGTCGTATCTCCATCTCTAAGTGCTTACACTTTATTTGTGACTCCATGAGTGAGTATTCCCTATATAATGGTAGGCAAGAGTACCATGACTTTTGTGTTTGACGTCACACTGACATGTTGGTGGTGTATGTTACGCTGCTAACAATTCCTTTTAGGTCCAAGGTATGCCCCTTTCAATCGTCTCTTGCTTTTCATGCATTAATTGTTGCCATTTCATTACAATGAATGCTTTACAATCAAGATTATGACAATACCAACTAAAATTTCTAATATTCTATTGAATTTTTTTAATTACACTGCCTTCATAATTTTGTATTTAATCCACCTAATTTTTTACAAAGTAGCACTTATGTGCCCCAAAGGTAAAGGAAGATTATTTTAGTGATTCGACGTGACAACTTTCACCTCACTTAATGTCTTTTGGGGTTGAGACATGCAATTATAATGTTACTTTGTCAATGTCATTGTTGATTTTGGAGATTTTGTTGTTGAACTTGTGGTCAAGTCAAGCTAAGTGGAGAACCATGCATAATGGCTATAAATTTTGAGATTTCACAAAAAAATTGCAAATGATCTGAACGTACATGTCCTAAATACTTTGTCATGTTTTTATTTGACTTGGAGCAAATTCACAAGTGTATCCCATATGATTTGAATGTTTGGAATACAATAGGAGTTCGTGAGCTTCAGTCGTCAGTAGTGCCTTTCAGGGTAAGGGTATGATTGGGAGGTGGTCAGAATCAATTTCTCCTATAGGCGTGGTAGTCTCTAGATATCTTTGAATGCCACTTTTTTAGCTCTCATCCAGAAGAAAAGGGGCAGTAGAAGTCTAGGATCTTAGACATATTAGTTTGGTGGGCAGTCTATTCAAACTCATAGCTGAAATAATAGTTGAAAACCTTGCTTTGAGATTAAGGAAGCAATGGATGGAGTGATCTCGAAAGTACAGAATACCTTTGTTGGTAGGCAACAACAAATTCTAGATTCGATTTTGATAACCAGCGAATGTGTTGATTTGATTCTCGACTGAGTAGTGGGGTATCAGGTGTGACTAATAAGCTTGGCATAGAGAAGTCTTACTACTATGTTAACTTGGGGCTTCTTGCTATACATTCTAGAGAGGATGGTTTTTGCGGGAAATGGAGGATGTGGATCAGATTTTGCATCTCTACGGTATGATTCTCAATGTTGGTGAATTGGGCACCTTCTGGATTCTTCTGTATCTCAAGGAGTCCAAGGCAGGGAGATCTTGTGTCCCCTTTGTTCATTTTTTGTGGTGTAGGCATTCAACATACTGATGAGGCAGGCCGTGGCTGTGGGATATAGCAGTGGCTTCAGGGTGGATAGAGGTCTTTCTAGTTAGATGGAGATTTCTCAAATCTCCTCTTTGTCGATGATATAATTTTATTTTGTGAGGCGAACAACGCTCACATGCGGCATCTTCGATGTGTTGTGGTTTGTTTCCAGACCATGTTGGCTCGTGTTCGTTTGGTAAGTAAATAATCCTAGATTGAATACATTTTTAGAGCTTCATATGCGAGATAGGGAATCAGTAGGCGTAGGTGTATTAGTGTGGGCTGGGATTTCTTTCCCAAATGCCATAGTAATTGCAGTAAAATGGGCTTTAAATATGTACTAAATCATACGAATATACAATATAATGGGCTTTAAATGAAATTTTGGAACTTCATAATTCAGCATATCGAAAAGCAAATCCCAAATGGATTGGTTGGATTATCCTTCTTTTTCTGCTGGAAAGGATAGGGTTTGGGGAAGATGGACGAAGTGGATCGAGTTTTGTATTTTCTCAGTGAGATTCTCGGTCCTCATAATCCATTCTCCAACGGGTTCTTCAGCAGTTAGTGGGGTTTGAGGCAAGTTAACCCTCTCTCTCCTTATTTGTTCATCATTGTAATAAAGGAGCTGAGAGTGAACAATGCCGAGCTCAGCTCGTTAAGCTTGTGAAAAAGCTTGTATAAGGCTTATATAGGTTTAATACTTATTTAAAGCCCAATATATTGTATACTTTGTGATCAAATATAATGTTGGGCTTTCCAACTACATGCTTTTAATTTTCCTGATTCTTATCCACAATGATGAAAATTGCTGTTGATGACTACTACAAGCACCCCCCAAAGTTGGGTCATGCCTTTCCATCAATTGCATAGATAGCCTCTAAACACTTTTAACACTGAGCATTCCTTTTTATGTAAGTCTCTAGTGCTTAGAATCTGAGCCACCATTCTCTAATAGAGAGTTGGAGGATTAAATCAACATGTCTTATATTGAAAACACTAGTTACCAATTCTTTTCTCCTTTTTTTAGTTGAATTTTTATTCAAACTTGCAACTTCATGAATTTCACTCCTATTATATGAAGTTGTGACGGCAAAATTAGAAGGATCCTCCACTTTCGTTACCCTTTAAAACAATATCCTTCTAGATGTCTTAGATCCACTGGATGAGTCCATAAAATCCACCATGCTTAAGCCTCCATGCCCATGAACGGCCTTGTTCTCACAAAGTTGATCGCTGGACCAAAACTTTTTAAGCTTGCGAATCTTCTCTAAGGAATCTGAAACTCTGCGCTGTGTAAGTTGGCAGAAAAGCCACGACCCTTAAAGGCAATAACTCCAGGAAAAAAAATGATTTCACTTGACTACAACCAGTGTAAACCAACCTAATCTCTTAAAGCACGAAAAGAAGGGCTCACGGGCACTTGTGAGTAAGGGTCATAACTAGTGCATTAAACAGTGTAACAAATTTAAACATTGCATCGCTCCTCTCCTGCTGTTTTTACATTATCTCAAATTTCCTCTTCTTTTGGGCATTTAAATTCTTCATTTTTAGTTCCTTATTCTTTTCGGTTAATGGTTTTATTATACTTATCAAAAAAGGAAAAAAAAAATGGTTTTATTATAGATCTACTGGGGATTATAGAGTTTTCTTTTTGTGTTTTATGGCTTTCGTATATCGGTCTCACTCCTCGCATAAGTGCTCTTTGAATGAACTTAACTTACTGAAACATAAAATAAAAAAATTCCATTCTGGGATGACTGTCCATTAAAATTAGTTTGAGAGTTTTGTTGGAAAGCAGGAGAGCATAGGGTAGAAGTCCGCTAGATATATTCTATTAATATTTCCGTTGTGAAATTGACATTAAAATTTGACGCCATAAACTATGATCAACTCATTTTTTTCCTTGAAAAGCGTTATCATCCTACCCAACCGAATTAAGATGAGAAATTGAATGCTATGGTTTAACTTGGTCATGGAGCACTAACTTTCGGAATTGATCCATATGTGTGGTTTGGTGTGTTATACTTATTTTACCCGAATGGATCACCCTTCAAGTAGGCGAATACTGATATCACTTGGACACCTGGGTCGTGAATTACTTCAGCAACATTTAATATTAATTTTGATGAAACCATGCTCGAGTCCCTTCCCCCTTTTTTTTAAAGCTTGTGCATCTTAAGGATTTGGATATTACACCAGTTTCATTTAATAGTAAGTCGAGAGTTCCATCTCTTCGTAAACCTCTTGTGTTTCATTTCCAAACATATTTCTCCTAATCCAGATATCACTATTTGAATTTCACGGTTTTTAGTATAAAATATTTAATTTAGGAATTGTTCTTAGGTGGTATAGGTTTTTATTTTTTTATTTTTTTATTTTTTTTATTTTTTATCCTTGCGAAGAAATTCACACTAGCCTTTAGTGGTTTCTTGAGATTATTTTGTTGTTGCGTTATTATTTTTTAATTATGTATATCTAACAAAAATTACTTTCTTTGCAATTGTTAATTTTTTTTCCCCAAATGATGGAAAATTTTATAGATATATATAAAAAAAAAAATACAGTTACAATTGAGGAAGAACCTCAAATAAAACACTTCCAACCTTAACCTTAAGACAAGGAAGGAAATCAGAGAGTCAAAACCCCTAAAGAAACTATCAAACATATGAAAACACAATCCTTAGCTGTTTGTTTCGGACATTTTCATTGGCTAATTAATGCACCAAAGTGGTTGTACGCTGTTCAACATTCTGAAAGACTCTTGGATGCCACTTCAGAAGATCCTCCAAACCATTCCAAACCTGCTTAGCATATGAGCATTGACAGAAAACATGATCTGTATGTTCTTCTTTGCAATTGTTTTGTTTCTTTGATATTACTATTTTTTTATTGCATTATGTTTGCCTTTTTTAATAGTATAAATACAAAAAGGTATTGTGCGCACGTGTTATGTTATATAATACATGCTAGTTATTGTTCCTTGTTGATCTGATTAATACAA